GTAACAGATTTCAAAAGACATAAGACAAAATCTCACCAATCTATAAGACGTTTATTTAAAGTCATTGGAAACTTAACTAATATCCAGCAATTGGTGATGTAAATAACACTGTTTGACTTCTACGTAATTATATAGATCATTGCTTTAGTCTACGCTGTGCCCTCTGACTGTCTGTTTAAGCTCTAGCACTGGTTCTCTGCCCTTGATTTTAGTCACTGCCGCTAGGAAATACGGGGACGGGAAACCAGCCTAGATCAAGCCCACGGATCAGGAAACACACCCCTAAAGGGTCAAAATATTTATGTTGTGTTGATAAAAAGTCCAAAAGTGATTTTCAATATTGCATTATCAAACTGCAGACTTCGAGATTAAATTGACAACTGATATATACAGTCTAAAACTGCTATCTGATCCAAGTCCTGAATTCTACAGTCAAGGCTTCAAAGAATGATAAAAGACCAGAAAATATTTAGACTTTTCAAGTCTATTTAAAAAAAAGTATTATTGTATTATTTTCTTGTAGGAAAAATTGCAAGAAAAAATAATCTTTGAGATCAGTCATCCTGTCTCCTACATGCATTGGTAAACTATTGTAATGTATAATGCAAGAATTCCTATCAAGAAATTAAAGGGTACCACAAGCTCATAAAAATATACATATATATTCCTAAAGCTCTATTTGTGCTTATAATCATAATTAAATGAAATCAATTATATTTTAAGGAGGCTGGGGGGTCAACAAAGTAACCATCAGATATAACTTAATTTTTTAGGTATGATATCTTAAGCTGTCAACTTTCATTTGGCAAAGAAAAAAATCATAAATTTTAGTTTTAAAATTTGATCATTTTTGTATATTTTTATATGGAGCTCTTCTTCTAAAGGAGATCAATATAGTCTGAAAATGGCACCAACCCCCCAGCCTTCTTAATTACAATGATCCTTGATCACATTAAAATTAAAATTTTGGAAGGTATAGGCCCAATGTACTGTGGAAAATGTCTAATCCAACAACTGTGCAATCCGTTTCACTGTGAACCCCAACCTTTATTTTCATTCCCTTTTTCCCACTTTTCATATTCTCTTCACTGTTTAATCCGACACCCTGTCTATTCTGACAAAAAATTCGTCTCCCGATGTTCGTCGACCGATTAGACAGGTTTCACTGTATCATGCTTTATTCATTACACTATGTCAGCATGCATGAAAATTATGTCTACACAATATAAAGTAGTGTGAGAATGTTTGAATGTGAGTGTTTTGATATAAAACACGAATAAAGAGGATTAGCTTCTTTTATTACAGATTCATATCATTGATATTCAAATCTTATAACTGCCTGTGACATAAGACCTAACAAAAATTCCACTGCTAACAAAACATAAAATTGACTAGAAACAAATAAACGAACACACACACAAAAACGAACAAACAGCAACATAAGTTAACCACAAAATGTCAAAACATTCAGGTTTAAAAGAAAAACTTTGATTAAAACATATAACAACTTCATGCATTCCTTTTTTTTTTATTGCGGGATTTGCAAATAAAATGCCTGTTTGCCTTTGGTGATGGAAGCTGTTTTGTTGTTTATATCATGCAATAATTTTTTGGATATTTGGGGGAATTTACACTGTATTTTATTGTTTTTTTTAATTTCGATAGTGGATCGGGAGAGATCACGTCACTTTCAAGGATTTTTATACCAGCAACTTGTACTAATGCTCCCTCTCCCTCCCTCTCTCTTTCTCTCTCTCTCTCCTAAGGAAAAATGCAAAGGAAACATCGCAAGGAAACCAGAATTATAATTTAGTAAGGAATTAAGCCAAAAAAAAAAAGGCGATCGAGGGAAAAAATTCAAGGATTTAAGCGAGGATGACAACTTTAGTCACTGCCCCGCAGTGTTACCCTGACTGTGCCCTGCCTTGCCCCCCCCCCCCTTCACTGTCCCCTGTTATTGACTGCGTTGTTATGTATACCTTCCCTGTTCTACGGTTCCCCCTTCGCCTCCCCCTTCGCTATCACCCTTGCTGCCTTACTCTGTCGCTCCCTCGCTTTGTCTCCTCATTTTTGCTCTCTTGCGTCCTCCCCACGGGGCAAGGAAACAAAGCAGCGAGAAATCCTATCAGTACATTATACCACGGTTTGTACAGTTTAATTTGGTGTTGAAACATTTTACATCACAACTCAATTAGGAATTACATTAACACATTCCTTAATTCGCCTACTCTCTCCACACGGGAAATCATTGTGCAACACTGTGCAATTTTAAACAGAGCTTTTCAAACCTAATAAGGAGTAGATATATACATGAATTGCTTTTCAGAAAACTTTTTCCTTTGGCGAGAGCTCTCCGTTTTGTGAAGTGTTTTTGTTAATTCCTTTTAGAAAACTATATCAAATTGTTTTGACACTTTAAAATGACCTTAAATTTTAAAAGACGGACGTCATGATTTGTTTTTTTGTTCCTTTTTGTTGATTGTCTTTCTTCCTGGATTTGAAAAGCCGTATATCACAACCTCCTCTATATGACTATGGGGAAAAATGACAACTCAATTCGCTGAAAAGCAAAATCTAATTCACTTTGATTAATGCAATTGTATATGAATGATCGAGGGCCGATACATGGGAGCGCTTAACACATGCCTTCCTCCGTCATACTTCATAGCCATATTATTTTGAAAATGATGTATTTTATATCTCTTTAAATTGATTGAAAGGAGCGATCTTTTATACTTCGTTTTTCTTTTTTGCTGACATAATGGTTCATTAATAATAAAAAAATAACAAGATTAAAAGCAGACACCTATTTAAATGGAAATACGGGGGTAAGACTGAGCAGTTTTCAAAACGGAGTCGATATGATGAAATAGAATTTAAATTTACAAAACACAGAAGAAATAAATTCCATATTTCATCAGAAATGTTTTAAACCTACATGTTTTGTAAACATGCACTTTAAGAAGAGCTGGAATTTTATTTTTAAAATCTCTTTTCAAAGAGCATTAAAAATCCGATGAAGGTTATTAAGTCAAATTTTTAAAGAAATAAACTCCGATGAATTTACTTTATTAAAATTTTAAAAGAGTATTACATATCTTCAACTAAGTTTACAGCACGTACTACGTCCGTCTTATTGACGTGAACTCCCATGTTGAATAATCTATCTTTCATTTATTAAAGGGTATCACTTATCGACTGGCACTGATGCAGACCCGTTGTGCAGTGTAATATGCCCTTTTGATAGGCGTGAACTCACATAACTTTATGATTTTAAGTGATATATTGAATTTCATCTTACTGATATATACACACCGAGGGGGGTGTGATGTTTCGCCGCCCGTGTAATATGAACTCCAGAGTTAAAATGTAATAATTTTCACATTGTGAAACATGAACAGCCCTATAAACTGACACAGTCATGGTGAATACACACACATTCCTATATTATGACGGAACTGCCCCAAATTAAGATTGAAGACTGAAATCGTTTGTTGTGGTTTAATGGTATTTTTAAAATACAAATCGACATACTTTACATGCCCCCGTATCCTGGGCTATAAATCTGGATCCCATAAGAATGTCACCATTTCAATTCCGTTTGAATAATTAATAATTGCTTGTTTCGGGGGCAGTGAAAAGTGCATTTAAATATTTCCCAAGTTACTGTAACCTTCAGCGTAACACTCCAATGAATTTGATTTTTTTTATCCGATAGGAGGGTGCGGAATTGCACCGAGAGTGCAAACACTACTTCAACAGTGAGTGTGGTCAAGATTTAAAAACATATGTATATACGTGTACGCATTGCAAAAAAAAAAAATAGTAATAATAAATAAATAAATAAATAATAATAAACAAAAACAAAATATCAATAACAGGATGCTACCTGGATCTTTATAAGAGCTGATTTCTTGTTATGCATCATCTTCTTTGCCCTCTATTTTGATACATGTAACTCTATAGCATCTCTCTCTCTCTCTCTCTCTCTCTCTTAATATCAATGAATTTTCTATTAACTTATCTATGACACAATCACAAAAACGGATCCTGATATTTTTTCGAGGGACTAGGGAACCTGAATATTATAGCAAGACAAAAAGTGATTCGGACGCTTATATGAGTGCGAAAGGAGGAGGGGAGAAAGAGGCTTCATGTAAGATTAATACCAGATGTCTTTTTCATGAAGTCTTAGAAAGGATCGTCTTTTCAAGGGGGGGGGGGGGGCAAAGTCACTTACGGCAACTTTTGCTAAATACTCTTCATGACAAATAAAATCGCGGAAGAGTGTCCCTCACTTCTATCCCCCACAAGATCTGCTATTTGGTCCAGCAATCTTAAAAATCAGTTGAAAGTTCAACAGACAAAATGAAATACGTTTCTCAAATATATATTGTCGAGCAATACGTCAGCCCTTTAACATAGATTACAATTATAGAAACGGCATACCAACAATAAAATCTAAAATAAGTTTCTAACGTTATATTTTGCTTACTTCCCATATTATTTTCAGACAATCAACCAATAAGCGACCTTTACCTAAAGAGTGAGGTCCGTATAATTGAGTAGGTAATATTGAAGTTGTACATGTTAATTGTTTTTTTCTATCATATTTTTCGCCGTGATATTCTTCATTGCGGTCTACAAATCCAATATAACACTCCATGTGATCACAAAGCACCTTTCTGAGAACTCTGTCCAGACGTAGAGAGAGTGTATTGTCATCTCAATAAAGGATAATAAAATGTATATCAATTTCTGTGGGGGAAAATACCCTACAAGCTACCGCGTAACGCACTTGTAGACATATCGGTTGATAATTAATAATCAAGACTCACTAATATTCACAATGCTTTATAAAGGTCATGCTTTTTAGCTTGTCCATTTTATTTATTTTTCATTATTTATAGTAACAATAAGAAAATCCCTCGAGCTTCCTATGTGTGAATCATGTACATGTATACGGAGGGATTCGATGACGTGGTGAGAAGAGCGCGTAGTCTGTTCCCTATATATATACCCCTTAGTATGCCGCGGAATTCTCCATTGCTCTAACGTTTTACAAAACATCGACATCTTAAAAAGCATCAGTTATCTGTAAGAACGGACTGCAAAGTGATTGGTGATTTAATAAACGTGCGCTGGCCCGCGAAGGCACACAACTTTAAAGGTGTTGGCGAGAAAACAAGCATTTCCATTTAAAGTTTGGATTTTTGACGTAAATATTGTAGGAAGTGAAATAAAACGAGAGAAAACTTAACAAATCTATTCTCAAGAAACTGGGGGTACTTGACCCGATTGTGATTTGATTGGTCGCCAGAGTTTCTAGTTTAGCTAGGAGTATAAAGGCTGTGACATTATTGTATCGCCATGTGAAGGGGCCATCATGCTACTACTGTCGCCATGGATTCAGTGCTGATGTGGTTCCTTGTTTTTATCATGCTTCTGGCCGTGCAAGTCAAATCTGTCCCGGTACAGAGTAACAAATCAGGACCCAAGTCACGAACGTTCAGCGGCCAAATCCAAAATCAAATACCCGAAGTGACAAAAATTGAATCCGAAAACATGGAAAGGCAAAGGGACGCTTATGTGTATAATCGTGTTCAGTTCACGCTGCCGTCTTCCTCCGACACAGAGTCCGTGCTTTCACAAACAAACACACACACAAAGTCTCCACGGAGACACCGACGGTCTTCCATTTTTTCAAGGTCAATTGTAGTCCAGGAAATCCGTCGGAATAGTCATCTAACGGATTGTACGGAGTGGGAGAATCGCCACTACTGCCATAACGGCGGAAAGTGTGCTTATATTCCCAAACTGGAGCTTAAAACCTGCAGGTCAGTATGTTATAATGTCAAAAAAATCTTCTAATCAAAAAAATTCTAATATGTCCTTGATTTGATGCCTTTGAACCGATTAAATTCATGCCGCTTTCTTTAAAATCATGTTGATTCATAACTCTGTAAGCAAGATTTAATAATATAACCCCTTTTGATTGCTATGAATTAAGACAAGAATTCTGAGACCCCGGGATTCTTTAATAATTTCCAATAAATGATTTAATGGATTCATGTTATCTAAACGAGATGACACCACAATGCTGCCCTATCCTTACAATTCCATTAGAAGTCATTAACGCAACATTAGTAAGTTCCTGGCACCATAGGGCGGGGTACCTTAAGATGCCCGACAAAGACTTCTGTCAACCTCGTTGTCTTTTCCGACATGCATCTCCATCGTTAGAGGCCATCACTTAAAATACTCTGCTGCCAGACTGAAATCTGTGTACAATATCAATGAGATAAATCAGAATTCGGTGACACAAAAAAATCAACTTGGGACAAGGAACTAAGACATGTAATTTTTACTGTATCTTTTTATAAATCTTAAATCAAGTGAGAATTTTACGAGTGCACCTACTTAATTGAAGGCATAAAAGTAATGAAGTGAAGTGGAAACATGGCAAAAAAAAACTTGTATACAGTAATTTTTTAACCACGTAGTTGTGAATGAGTACTTGACTATACTTATTAGTAATCAAGGGCTGTCAAAACATATGCAGTATTTTTTTACTTTCCAACCAATCATGCATAATACTAAAGCATGAAAAAAAAACGAAAATCCTTTAATTGTATTTCATCTTTGGATCATCTGGGGGAAAACCTTTTTTTATTTCAAAATATAAGAAAAAAAACTTGGCTTATGGTTTGAGCAGGTGTAAAGATAAAAAGAACTGTTGTTCATCTTCGATGTCAATCTGTTTACAAACAGGCACAATTTCTACTTAAAAAGTCCTTGTAAAACACTTAAAACAACGATCTTCTTTGTTCACTATAAATATTGTGCATGTGGTTACATAGGGGGAAAGTATATAGTCGATACAACACATTTCCCTTCGTTAACAATCCAAGTTTGTTGTCAATTCTAAAACTTGCCTAAAAATATTACGTGCATGTAGATATGCTTCATTAAATATTAATTGCGTATATATGATTGATAAAATTCTTCTTAAAATTACAGAACGGGCACATCATAAAACGCCGACATTCAGTTAGAAATAAAGAATTGATTTCAATCGTAAAAATACTAATCACACGGGGTCTATAAAATACAAGTGACATTTTTTTCTTTGTTTCCATCTTAATGGACCCAGAAGAACAATAATTAAATATTGATGGATTTTTCATTCGCTTTCAGGAAACCCTACATGAAAGAAATCATGAACCAATCCGAGGTTATAACACAATAGCAAATATGTTTTCAACTTCCTAAGGATATTTTTAAAGTCCATAACACAACACTAGCTATGAATCTTCTTAAAAGAGTGATTAAGTTTCCAGAGGTTTCTAAATTGTTTCTGTATGACTGGTGTATACGTGGGGGTGGTTTGTTTTAAGGGTCCATTCCCCCATCGAGCGGAGGACATGCTCTTCACGAAGATCAAAGAAAATCAACTGTTGTACACTCACATTTGTTTAAGTGCACGACTGTTAATTCTTTAATCTTTTAGAAAGACGGTTCATGGATTATCGTGGATAAGAAAGTTCAAGGTCGAACAAGACTGAGCCACCTGCACACTTTACGTGCGCTGTACTGACGTACATTTGTTTTTCTGTTAATTCAAAAGCACTTCATGTTTTGACGATTAATTTACAGAAAATGCAAAATATGACTTTTCTGCAAAGTTCATCAACAACACGGATTGGTTTATAGGTTGTAAACTTATAATATGAAATGTCACAAACTCAATAAATGGACACAAAAAGAGCGAATAACATATATAATACTGTAAAACACGCATAAAGCGAAGTGGCATGGACGACAATTTTGATTAGTTATAAACGTACACCGTTATATTTCTTGATATGATTTGGAAAATCACTTCGCCATAAGCTAGAATTTATTATAATTGTGTTCGCTTTAATTTATATAATAACATGACTCAAATGTATTGATGACGCCGTATCGTCATATTGAACTTTGCCTAAGGGTCTTTACATATAAGAAAAATAACTAATTATCAAGACTTTTAGATAAAAACCAAGGTTTAGGCGAGTATGTCACATGGGAAAATGAATATCTGAAGCTAACATACAATGCATGCAGATAAAATAATTTATGATAAAGTATCTGTTTACAGATTATAATCTTCAGTCTACCATTCTATATATCTCATTCTATTATTCTTAATCTTCAAAAATTCAAAGATCAGCCGAGATGCATGGGAAAATGGAATACACGGATTCCATTGTTGTCCTCGCGGCTGTTTAAGATTGTATAATATGCATTCTGACATAGCTGAAGTTTTCTTGTAAACCACTATTATGTAACGCGCCCGTCACAAGAAAAATCCCTCCGCTTTCTGCCGCTAACTTGACGTTAATTTATGAGCTGCTGACGGTTCACAATGTTTTTTTTCTTCCTCTGGTAATTGATTAAATAGTGTTTTTTTTCAGTTTTTTTTGACAAGACCACAATGCAACTGTTGCATTCCAGGAATGTGCAAAAAATGCAGTTGAACTCAGATTTTATTAGGCTTTTAGTGCACTCTTTCTAAATAATCTCGATGACTCGTATCAAAGTAGGTTCAAAATGCTTTATTTTTAAAATATACCTGTAAAGAGGTCTACAATTATATAAAGCATCACCACATAACAAAATGGAATTGTTTTACCAGGGACGTGTATACTATTAGTATATAGGTCCCTGGTTTTACCGAAACAAACAGGAATGAACTGGATTGTTCCCCATGGAAATACAAATTTTTATCATGGTGATCATAGAGGTCGCTTTTTCATCAGTATCAATTACACGCTTTAAAGCTCTACTTAAAAAAACCTAGTGCTGACTCTGTGGTAGGTCCTAAGCTTATGACGTCATAAGAAAATATGAAGACAAAGCGAAATAGATAATAAAATAATGACTTCTCGTTACGCCTGCGGAGAAATTGTTTTCAGATTGGCTTCTCTAATCCCCCTTTAACAAGAGCTTTAGTCGCTTTTCGGGAAGACGGGCCATTTTTTGTCCAGATATCGTTATCAACGAGATCCAAACTTGCGATTGCTTCAGCCAATTTGCTTCCTCTCCTTTAACATATGGTTCTCTTGAGCCGATTTTCTTCTTTTCTTTCAAACCACATGGAGTGGGGGATTTTTTCCCGGAATGTGTGTTTTGTGTACATTAAATAGCATGCTCCGTTGTAATAGAACATATAACACTGCTACCACTGGGCATGGGGAATGTTTTTGTATCATATGTCTTAGTACTGCCGATATTTGCATTAAAATACGTAAAACCCTAATAAATAGACAGTTTGGCAGGGCTGCATTAGGTCGGTTATTACAGAATAATTGTAATTGTGTATTTGCGTGACTAATTCAGTCTGCCGGAGAATGAAACTTATTCTTCATCACCACTTTTGTGGGTGGTCATTTTAATTAAGCCCAATATGTTAGGCGCAAGTCGAACCCAGCATCAAAGCACACTATTAATCATATCTCCGTTGTAATCTAGCAGGCGCTTAAAACATTTAACTGACATCGAGCAGCGAGTCACTCAGAAAATGCAGATTATGATATTAATACACGGTAATAATATTATTATCTTGGTAACAGTCGGGCTCTGTGTCCCGTCCTTAAGTAGCAATCTTCAAGATTCAACATTCTGGTCGTAAAACACATTCCGTATTTTAAGTTTCTCCAACAGCAGAAGTGTCAAATTGTACCTTATCTGCACATTAGCTGACATCCGGGGACTTAATCAGCGCCCTCTCCCGTCCTGATAATTTCCACGCGCAAACTTTGCCCCAAAAGTTTATCACTGGATAAGGGTAGGTTATGTAAGAACAATTTAAAAACGGGAACCTGGTGCATGCCTGAAATTAGTCAAATTCCAGACGTTTGATTGGGTGACAAGAGGGTCAGGCTATTCACCGCGTACTTAAGTTTTTTGAACCTTTAGATAAGGGCAAAGTACTATTTGGGGAAATATAATTAAAGAATTTTCTAAAGTGAATTAGCCGTTAGAAGTATGGCAGAATGAAGATAAGATTTCCGCTGGAAAAAAAGTCAAAGACGAAAAGCAGAATGATTCGCCATAATGAAAAGTATCATGAATGAAGATCAGTAGATTTGAAAATATTTTTGAAATTTTATGAAAAGCAAAAAAGAAATAAATCATTAAAGAAACCACGTCATCGTTATCCATAGAAAATAACTAATATGACAATTTTTTGGGCTAAAATACAGATGTTCGTCTACTGATTGATCGGAGAATTATAAACATCAATCGCTATCAATTACTTTTATATGTAGTTTTTATGGAATTCTATGTTATTATTTCGTTTCTCTTTAAATACAAGACTGCTTATATAAAGAACCTTTTATGAGGTGTCAGATTTAGCTTTCATAAACAAACTACTCGGATGTATATAAATAAAATAAAACATCCTAGCTCATAGCATGTCAGAAGACCCTATAAATTTTACAATGATATCGACTAAATACATGGGTTGTTTGTGAAATACTGTTACATAAGTTCACTCTAATTACCGGGGAGGAAGGTGTTTAAGTAGAGTTCACAAGTCGCACGAGTTAATGATGAAATATCAGAACAGTTCTCTTCATCTGCAGGAAGAAGACATTTAAAAGCCTGATTCTACACTTTGATAATTTTCAAACGTGTCCTAATGCACACGTTAGTCTAAAAACTAAACACGGTTTGGCACAGAGACATAAATATTTGACTTATTTTTTTACTGGGGTCATTTGTAGGTCAAATCGTTCTGACATGAAAGAAAAACACAAAAAGGGGGAAAAGAAAGAAAGAACAAAAACAAAACAAAAAATAAACAAACAAACAAATAAAATAAATACTGTGTCCTTAAAATTTTTCCAAAGACGGAAAAGTTCCTGTGTAGAAGAACGGTATTCTGAATTTTATCAATCAAGGTACATGTACAAAAAGATATTCCTTTAATCCTTCTCGTGCACTTGAAGAACAGCTGTATGCACTGACGCAAGCCAAATTCTGTACGTGATTACAGGAACCGGAATTCTGATACTTAATATTTATGTAATTAACATTTTATACAAAAAATAAATAACGGAACCATTTTTAACATTTTAGTCAAAATATAGACATATATATGCTAAATTATAAGAAAGAAAATACTAATTATATTTTAATGTATACTGAAATTATAATAGTTTTCCTAGAACGAATTTTGCATTGTTTATATAATACTAATATATCGTTAATAATTATTTTTCTTGTGACAGATGAACACATGTAAATAAGTATCAGTTCCCCTCATTTCAAAACTTAACTATGTTTAAGGGACAAATTATCATAACAGTGTTGTTAAATTCATTAAAGTCTATTTTCGGATTTAAAAAGACAAAACAAATGACATACAAAAATGAAATTTAGCATAGATTTCATATAACCAAAATATTTACATTCTTGAATTTTGTTTGCCACTATGGTTCATAGAGCTCTGATGCATATATTTATATTTTCAAACAAAAGGGACATTCCAGTTGCGAATGAGAAAATCTTGATAAAATGTTTGTTTTTTTGTTTTTTTTTTCAAGTGGTGTAAGTTTCTATTGTCATTCAATTATTTTGAAAAGTTTGCGTCCAGTTCCTCTGATTAGAAACCCTGGATCATTCTTACTTACATTTAAAACATGCATAAAACAAGAATTATTCATCTTGAAAAATAAAAAAAAATCTGCACTCCCAAGTAAAACCTGCATAATTAACAACTTTGAATCATCCGCATAAAATTTTGATAAAAAAGATGAGTTGGGGGTTGCTCTTTTTTAGCGTCCTGTTAGTCACGATAAATCGGCGGGGATCTCTTGAAAATTCTGATAATTAGGTGACTAAGGAGGTGTACCTCTCAAAGATCACAAAGAATCGGAGGCTCCGACCCAAACTCCCAACAGATGAGGGGGAACCTGAAGATGCCACTTACACAAAATATAATTAAAAAACTCTTGAGAAATTTGCTCAGTTTCCAAATATATCCAACGTCTTTAACGAAAACAAGCAATGCCCTCTGTTTCTCATTTGATTTAACTTTATAGTATTTTGTTTTATTGTGTTTTAATGGAAGTGTTTTGGATTTTAGGATAGAACAGTTAATAAAAACGTAGAAGAAAAATTTCAATTTATGACTAATCAGATTAATAATAATACTTGATTATTATTTTTTATTCACTAATTACCAATATTTCTGGTTTATTTATTTTCAGATGTCCTATGAGTTACACGGGGTCTCGATGTGAGATATTTGACCTTCAATTCTTCATGAGTCAAATGACCGCCTTTAACCCTGTAAGTATTTATAGTGGAAAATGTACTTTGCGCTCAATTATACTGTCCAAATTTGTTAATTTCAAAATATAAGTTACCGGTAGACGAAATAGTACAACAATCTTTTTTTTAAAATTATTACAGAATAGTAGCATTTTTAAAAAACTTACAAATAAGTATCATAGTAAAGAGAAATTGAATTTTTAACCTAAACTGATGGAAAAACCTTGCAGTTGGCGTAATTTTATAACAACTTGTGAATTATAACATGCCAAGGACTTATTGAAACGGAGAAACTTAAAATCAGAAATTCTATTTCTTTTAACAAAACTTGATCAGCCCGGCATTTATTATCTCTCTCTCTCTCTCTCTGAGTACAGATAAAAATGATGGAAAAACAATTTATTAATTTAATTATTTTAAGGGTAAAATTTTCTGGGCGAGTGATTCCTCTAAATCATTACATTACAGAGTATTAAAGATGAGCAGAATATTAACAAAATCATACCTGGATCCGACTTTTTACTCTTGTTGATCAAACAGGGGGTGGGGGTGGGTGGGGGTGGGTAATACTAAATACTAATTATATATAAAGACATTCCAAACCCGAAATGACCAACCGTTGTGATATTCCTCACTTCAATTTCATGTTTCCTTTCTGCCAAAATCTTGATCTCTGAATTGTTGTAAAGATTACCCTACAGTTGACTTTTTTGAGAGTTATTAAGTTTTGGACGGACGTTCATCGAAGTGTTTGTAACACTTTATCAGAATTCCCATAAAGAAATAAAATAATTTTTTAGTCAGCTGACGTAAACTCGAAGAACCTTATCAATAGTTCTCCATTTCGTTTGAAAATAAATCTGACATATTCAGTGAGGGAGTGTAATTTATTAGATTTATGTCGTCATTATTAAGGAATAGCGCCATAAAGAACGGTCTGCAAGCAGAAAAAATCACTATCTCTTATCAAAGATCAGAACAAAAACAAATATTAATTATACCCCAGTGAATAATTGTTATCTCGGTTTACCTTACATAAAATAATACCTTGTTATTATATTTCATCAAAGAATCAAGTGAGTGGCTTAATAACGATTGTCTTGCATTCATTTATTAACTTTGCGTGTCTAATTAATTTTTAAATCAGAGTGATGATCAACCGTGAGGTGTAAATGAAATCTATCCTTTGGAACACATTTGTATGGAACAACCGATAATTAGCAACATTCGTACAACCTACTTAATACAGTATCGCCATAGAGACACACTTCCGGTGAAACTCTTGCTTCATTATTCATTATTACGACACATTATCCGAGTCTTGCTGTTTAGTTTTTCATCCTTAAAATTCCTCTTTTTGAATCACATTAAGCCAGATTCGTTGAATTGTACACATTAACTTTACTTCTGAAACCCAAGAAAACGTTCAGTTTATAAATTTATAGAAAATAAATGAAATCATTACTTTATTTTGTTCTTTTTCTTTCAGTTTATGTTTACTGGTTAAAGAGAATACAGGAAAAGACAAACAGATTTGTGATAGCGCTGGACATAATCTGATGCACGTACAACGAGAGTGCGCGTGTCCATCATCGAACTAGGTCATCCGACAATCGAACACGACCAGAAAGAAAATATCTTCACCCAACGATTTGAACGGTGACCGATCTTCCATTTTTACCTTGCCATAAACTCTGTGCATTTTTTCCATATGTTAGCCACTATGGAATACAACCACGTGCAAAACATTAACTTCAAAGGTGTTTTGCGGAGAGGAACACGGTAGAAACAGATTTGAGCTCGTGCAAGTTGAACGAAAGATCAGCATGTGTGCCTCGGTGGTTTCGTGGTTGCAAGTCATTAACCCGGCCTGTATGAAAACAGGAATATTCTAATTACTTAAAACAAAACAGATACTTCAATCGCGAACAATAAACCCTTCCGAATCCAAAGAAGATTGCAGGGAATCCCGTGTCTGTACCTATATTACTTCGCCTGTTAATCCGACTAGAACTACGTACAAGCTATTAAGTCAAGGGGCTACTAATAAGAAAACCAGCCATCGGAGTCAACGTTTTGGATATTATGATTTATTGAAATAGAAGAAATTAGTTTTTTGGCAGAGGATACAAAGCAAAGAGCATTTCTCTACAAAGCTTGGTTTCATCTCCAAGCAGACAATTATATACTCCTGTTGGTCTTGAAAGACCTCTCGAATTAAGGGGAAGAAGTTCAGTGTTTGACAAATACAGAACACGCAGATACTTGATTTTAATTAACTTTCTACAGGATTACGGAAAATCTTTCATAACTAAATTAATCACTATTTTGGTTACATGTTAAGCGTTTATTTAAGAGATTTTTGCTGTTTGTTTCGAACCACCTCTAAAGGCGTGTTCGAATCGTCATTTCAATGTCTGTGATAAAGCCCTCAAATGAATATGAATGGTTGAAAGGTTGAAAAATTTCATCATCCCCAAGTTAAATTGGTGTTCATGTGTGTGAGATTCGAATTCAATGTCCATTCATTTCATTCTAAATTAAGAGAGGTATATCCATATTCATAAATTTTAATATTCATTAATCTTAAAATGCTCTAAAGGAGGGCATTAACTCTATCAAATACCGGTGTAAAATAAATACGTAGAATATATTTATTTGGCTAGATTTATAGGCCATCGTTTAAAAAAATATAAATATATATTGTATATTGCGACATTGTCCACTCAGACATTCAATAGATTTTGAAAAAAAAAAACACCCTTTATGTAAAATATCTATTTGGGGATGTAACTCCATTTAATTGATAAAAAAAAATAAAATAAAATGAATACGAAAACAAAACGGATATTGACCAACATTTTCTTTATTTGTCTTCAAAGACGAAGTACAAAACATTTTTTTTTTCTTCCAAAAAATCATTTAATAATGGCAACATTAAGAACGAAAGGTAAGTTGAAAAAAAAATAACACGATAATAAAATTGACAAAATAACATGAATTCAGTGGATCCTTTCAAAAATTCGATTTTGTATATGATTAATTGTTCATTACACATTTTTTCATCCCGAATCAGTGTAAATGTATGGCGAAATTACATCATATCAATATACATGTTGGTTAAGTATGACATACAATGAATGGTTGTTAATTTATTATCTGTATATAATTTATTAGGAATGTAAATGATGTGTCTGTATGTGTGTTTGTTTGTTTATTTGTTAGTGTGTATGTGATTTTGTTTGTGTCAGAGAGAAATAACTATTATTGTTCCCAGATTTTTGTTGAATATCTTAAGTACGTTTCAGCATAGCTGGAAAACTTTGAGCAAATTTACTTGAGTAATATCAATAAAGGATAGTTTATACTATGTATACATTTTAGTTTTCTTTTTACTTATGTCAGGAAATTCAGATTTCGTTAATACAAGTTTCACAAGGCAGAGGAGAAAAAGGGGCAAGGCTTTGGGCAAAGCATATCGGAGTCGACCCTTTCGTAGAATTTTCTGATGAAACTTGGATATCCGAGTAAATTAAAGTAAAGAGAACTTGTACAGAATCTTTAGAAATATCAAAGAGCCTCTTGTTTGGGTTGCACAACTGCTCAATCAGAAAACCATAAATGTCTGTATGAAAATGGCGCCACTGTCGATCGTCTTATGGTGTGGAAAAACATTACTTCCCCTAATAAAATTCAAAATTTATATACTGTTTAAAGAAATCTCAAAATTTTTAAGGTGCTTTTCAAAAAGTACCAAATATTTTCCATAACATATTGAATAAATTGGATGAACAGGAACAAACTTTACCCATACTTTATCGCCAAAGCTCAAACAAGCCAAGAAACATTTTTGTTGTCTATACTCCAACAGCTAAAATTTCATGCTTTGAAGATTTAAGCACAATATAATCATTATGCTGATGATTTTAATCTCAAGGTCTTCGATCACAGCACCAAATACCGAAGAGAGAGATTACATAGTTTTCATCTATGATATACCAAGGCCAGAAGGGCCACGGAATGCCTTATCTTCCCGGCAGCTACTGGCATTCTTCAAGTACAATCATAAAATTTCAAAAATAGAAGACTTGCTGGGGTTCATCAGTTTTTATGATCACGCTTTGGTTGTCCTGATATGATTAATAAGATGCTTACCTACAGAAAATCTTGTAAGACATGGTGTCTAGAATAAATTCTTAGATCTACGTCTTGTACGACAAAGATAACAAATATGAATTGTTAGATCCGCGCTTTGAACATGACGGTTAAGCAAAACATCAAACAAATGTGAACTTGAAACTTTATTTCAAAAATACGTACTACATCACATGTACAGTTTTAACTCTATACAACCCTATTTTCTAACCGGTTACAAGTAGCTACATTTTTAAACTTTTCTTTCAAAATAACTATATAGATCTATATATTATTTATATACACATTCTGCCATTCGTGAAAAAAGAGTAAGAGTAATGTTCAGACTCCAATAAAATAAAAACAATGCCCTGTTTTAAATACTAGTACTTTGACAGATGTAAAAAATTCTTTTAATTGGATGTGAAAAAACAGATAATTCCTTGAAAAAAAGTTATTCCAGCAACAAAAAATACACCTGTGTATATAAGAGTACACTGTTATAACTGAGAGTTTTAGAATAGGAATATTCAGTGTTAGTCTCTTTAATGTAGTAGAGTGTTACAAACCACAAATGTATACACTGTAACAAGAGTGTGTAGGAGAAAAAAAAATCACTCAACTCCCTCAACTAAACGAATACACGGTTTTTCTGCTAATATTTTTTTTCATTTGTTTCTTTATGCATGTACTTTCCATATTATTCCTAGTCTGATGGCCTGGGGCTATTCATAAAAAAATTTAAGAGGACAGAAAACCCGTATTCTATTCATCCTTATTACTTATCTATACAAATGATGGCCCCCTCCATCCTAAGGCATGTTATGTACAAAGGAAACGCAATTTACAGTGATTCAATAAAGAGTTAAGCTTCAGAAAAAAAAACAGTAAGAAAACAAAGGAAAAAATCCTTCAGCAACCGTAAGATAAACCAGCTGAGCTTTTTCTTCTGGTCAATAAAACAATAAACAGAGACTAATATTTACATACTGCCTTCCTCCATGTTTTGCTCAATTTTTGGACGCCAGTTACAGACGACCTATGATCATTGCATTCACAAGTGCCCCTGACTCGAGGGTCTGCAGACTTTCGCTTTTTGGCGGCAAAATGAGCAGAGAGTTAGCCGTCTTCATGCTCAGTAGCCGACTACTCATCTGGTTACCAGTGCTGGTGGCACGTGGTATCGGGTCGTCTGGTTGCCACTGAAGAACCGCGCGGTGGTACTCTGGACGAGGGTCCAAATAGACCCGCTCTTCAACCTTTAGATTGAAAAAGAACATAACAAAAAAAAAATTAAAAATTTCATCTAATAGATGTAATTCCATTATCACATAAATATATTGCGTAATCTCAGAGGCGGATCCAGAATTTTTTTGGCCAAGGGGGATCCACATCACCAGACTCGGAAGTTTTTGGACAAGCATAAAAATCCTAAATAACTTGCCCTACCTAACCTGAAAATCCTATTTCGTGGGGAAAAGGGGGGGGGGTAAGAGTTAGACACTTTCCTAAGTCATTCTTTTTCTTCAGATACATAACCCTTTTTAAGAAAGGTCCGTGTTTCCTTGAAGTATCATTTTCTTTTTCACCTTTACATGGAAAATTAATAAAGCTACACAATTCAACGAGGAGGGGGGGGGGTCGTTGGTCTCAACCCCCCTCTACAAAAGGTGCATTAAAAAATGCATGGTGGGTTGTATATGCCATAGAAACGTGTGCTAGGGGCGACTACACATGCGTGAAATTCAGGTAACTGCGCGAGACTTGTTATCTTCAGAAGATTGTTTCGGTATGTGATAAGATAATAATCATTATTTTTGGTGTGATCATATCGTAAATCTAGGGACAACAGCGTTCTTTACATCTTCAGGTATTCAAATCTTTGATAACGAAGAAATATGTTCGAACACCGTTAAAGAATCCAAGGGCTGACTAAAATAGCCGCATTCATTTTTTATGATGCCAAATAAAAAAGCCATACATATCTATAGTCTACATTTATCAAAAGAATGGTTCTATCGGAAGCAATGTAAATATTTAGTGATCAGATAACGGTGTGATTCGGTGGAAAGTAATTAGCATGTGTTCAGCTAAGAAACGCAGGAGAAATCAGAAGACCAGAGAGAGAGAGAGAGAGAGAGAGAGAGAGAGAGAGAGAGAGAGAGATCAAATGAGCAACGGTGAATTAATTTCAAGAATGTAATAACAGAATTTAGTCGGCTTAAACACCTTTAGCCATATTTTTTATACACGATTTTCTCTCCATTTTTCTTGTGTTTTGTGGTACTATAAATACGACGTTTTTCCCAGTAGTAAATTAAATGTAAGTTGCAGTCCAAAAACAAAATAAAATTCATTATCTGTTGATAATTGTAACAACATCCACCTCAATTTGCCATTTTCAAACTGGCGACGCAATGTTTACTTTGGCTACAATTAATTGAAAAAAAAAAAAAAAAAGATTGTAGGAGGAAAAAACATTAAAATATTTTGATATTTTTTTTTCAATTTACTTTCTGTGAAAATCTTGGTATAAATGTACTTCAATATTGTTGATATTAATTTATATCACGCTTTCCCAGACGGCATACATCACCGAACATTTATAATTGTGTGGGCAGTCCTGCTTCAAACAGGCATCTCTGGACTTCAATTCATCTTTAATGAAACTTTTTCTCTTTGATCAGAAATTCTGAGCTACATAAATAAATATGTTGCATTAATACTTTAATTTTCTTTCAAAACATTTACATTGATGAAAGCAGGAACATTTTCAGGATACCGTTTGATTCTTGTGACCACTGCTTTATCCCTCTTGGTTTCTATACAATCTATTTAACTACAGGCCTCAGAACCACAAATTTTAAGCGATCGAACACTTATGTCAAAATTTCAGTCATTCAGAAATGAATATTTATTATATTAAATTGGCACTTGAAAATTAAAATTAACAACATGAAAGGGAAACAATTTTTAAAAACATGTAAAATTCTATGTGTTTTCTATAATAAAACTCCAAGAAAATGAAAGAATTCTTGTTTAAGGTATTTACACCCTCATGTGACGTCCCAGGTTTGCAAAAAAAAAAACCAAAAAAAAAAAACAAAAACAAAAACAAAAAACAAAAAACAAAAAAAAACAAAAAAAAAAACAAAAACAAAAAAAAAAAAAAAAAAAAAACGAAAAAACTTTCATTGATTCAACTTCTTTTGATAAAATGTTGTTTACATAGGTGTAATAAAAAATATAGATTAGAAATTTTTCAAAAATGGATAATTTCTATAATTAATCATTTAAAAATTTTACAAAAGGCAAAAACTCTTCATTTTTTAATTCATGCATTTTCTTTATACCTCTATTGTAAATGGTCTCCCTGATATCCATAAAGTATCAATTAACTGGAGCATTTAATATGATAGCTATGTCATTTGATACAGATTTTAATTTGATTATTAATTATTTCAGACTATATTAACTTAAAATTAATGCAGTTTTTCTACTTTGAACCTAAAAAGTCATCTTGAGTAAAATAAAAATGCTTCTTGGTCTCGATACACCCCACCCCCTCCCCCACCCCACTTCCCAAATCTGATGTGTCTAAAAAAGCGAAAGCGAAAAGTGAAATATTACTGTAATGCATCTGTAGATTGATTCTGTTGTCAACTAACAAAAAGTGCATGATTTCATTACTTTCACAATCGATGCTTCCTTACATGAAGTCAAGATTCGTGCTCAGCAAATAGACACCTATAAGTTTCTTACATTGTATATTCTGAATTCAGAATCGTCTATAACCTTTATGAAGCCTATTAAGAATGTTATCTGTTTGCTTTGAGATTATGAGTGCAAAAATGTTATAGAAAAATTCGAGCAACTTCAATTGCTATATGCGTTATCTACATTAATTATATACTGAAATTTTATTATTTTTTTTCTTTTTATATGTCTTAAGTCATAGCAAAGCTATAAAGTAAACAAAGAAAAATGTTAAACACACCCTAATTATTATGAAATGAAAAATAGTGCAATTGCTAGGAAATAGGTGGCTCCTCAGCAAATAAATACAACTTACAAGAAACACCCTCTTGGAAAAGGTTAACATTATTGTCAACTGATCTAAAAAAAAAATATGATGATTTATAATACATTTGCACAGCAAAATTGTAACAGTTCCATAAAAAAAATTCCAGAGTTCTCCAGAGTTCATAAGTTGAAAAAAAGATGGTTTTTTCTGATCAAA